TGGTGCTACCTCTATGAAGTCTGGTGTTGCTTACTGGCAATCCCCAAATGGCGCAGCCCATGGAACAATAAGCATAGTTGTATATGTTTATGCATTTTCCCATATCTATCTATATTTATGTATATGTATATATATATATAGATTTAAACATAAATTAACAAGTAAGTAAGTAAATAAACAAATAAATAAAAATAAAATATAAATATAACTACAAATATAAATATAAATATAAATAAAATATAAATATAAATAAATGAATATATATATATATACACACATATGATTCACTCTCGAGACCTGCGAATACACTCACCAACAACCCGAACAACAAAAAGCTAACCTGTGCCTCGAATAGGAATTTCCCAACATGGAGGTACCCACCCTCCCACCCCTTCATGCCCCAAACATAATCGAATCACATAAATGGGACCTCAAAAAGAGCTACCCCTAATCTTCGAATCTTTCCCCGGGTAATTACATCACACCGATGTTGCAGAAGTACCGGCGCGCCTCGAAGTGCTGCGCAGACTGAAGGGAAGCCTCCACCTGAGGCGAGTGCCGTGCCCGTCTGCTTGCTTTCGCACGGTGCAGAAGCTTTTAGGGTTCAGGGTTTAGGGTTTAAGGGTTGAGGGGTGTAAAAGCTTTTAGGACAACTGCCGCAACGACCGCCGGCTATCAGTGCCCCGCCCTTTTCCAATCCGGCGGTTTTCCGGAGCAGTCTCAAAACCCTTTGGTGTTTGACGGGCACGTCTCTCATTTGGGTGCTTCCTGCGGAATCGCCACGCAGTGCACTTTCTGGGCGCATAAACAAGTGACTGAAAGTAGCACGAAAGGCAACTACATGGATGGCCATTTTCAGAAGGGTCCTGCGCTTTAATGCATCCGCAATGGCGGCCTGAGCCACAAAGGCTCTTGTTCCAACCATGTTCATACATCAGATTCATCAGATGAGAGCAGATACAAGCCGAGCCCACCACGAGCTTTTCCGTAAGGAAGTGGTTTTCACTTCTCAGCAGATGCATGTCGCTTCCTGCAGGCTCGCCTCAGAGCATCTCAGCGCCAGTGAGTGAACACAGACGCTCCACACACAATCCCGGCGCGCCTGCACTGAGCGCGTGGGCCTGACGTCACGTGGTTTAGGAAGGCAGCTTGTAAGGTATTCTGGAGTGGGGGGGGGGATTGAGACCTCAAGGCATCAAGGCAAGAAACCATGAGTCCATGCAGTTCAGGAATCACCCTAAACCCTAGAGCGTGCTGCAGTCCTCGGGGCTTCCCGGCGGCTGGTGCTCGGCGAGCATGGAGGCCTGGCCAGAAACCCAAGCACGGCAGCTTCATGTTTGGGTTTAGGGTTTAGCATTTTCAGGGTTTAGGGTTTGGTAGGGTTAGGGGTTTAGGGCTTGGTCGGGTTTGGTTTCAGGTTTGCGACGGTCTGGGATTTTGGGAGCAAAGGTTTAGGGGCTTTCTGGCTCCTCTTCGTAGGGACTTCTGGAGTTCGCGACCCTATCTGTGAAAGCGAAGCATGCACGGAGCGTGTGCTCTCACGAGCTTCTTCAGAAGGCTCTTCACTTGAGCCACGCTTGACATGTGAACGATTGCCGCCCTTCTCAAAGCCAGGGCCCTTGTTTGACTGAGTCAGCATATCGCTGACGAAGGAGTATCGTGTGGCACGGTGCACTTGAAAAAGTGCGAGTGAGCCAATAGGCTTTTCTTTGTGAGCCCCCCCATAGGCTGTTCACTATCTTGTCCCTTTAAGGGGTACAGAAAGGGAGTATTAGGCACCGAATTCCCGAATGCCCTAAACCCTAAACCCCTAAATCCTAAAACCCTCGACCCCAAACTCCAAGTAAGGTGCCTAGTTCCTTCATTCCCGATTAAGAACGATTAGGAGGGGTGCCAATGTGAGGATTCCCTGCCTCGGGCAGAAGAACCCCCGAAGTGCTCGAGTCAACCACACCTTCGCAGAGCTGAGGGAATCATATCCTTTACAGGGTTCTGAAGTATGGGGTCTTGGGTTGTATAGCGTATAGAAGGGGTATTAAGGGCCCCTTTCCAGAGCCCGTACCAAGGGACCATGCAAGAGCAGCACCTCTACTACCCGGTAAACCCCTATAAGCTCTGTAAGGCCTAGAGACCCTGTAAAGTCGAAAGCCGCTGCAAGCCAAAAACCCTATAAACATACAAGTGCTACTTTACACCTTGTAAACACTATAAAATTCTAAGCCCTATAAGCCCCAAGAGCCCTAAAACAAGAGCAAGCCAGGTTTGGAAGAGCATACGACGGGGGTTTTGGGTAGTTTCGATTACGACTGCATCTCTATATAGTGACTGTGGAATAAATGGGTGCCCCGTCTTGGGGGTTTGGGGGGGTTGAACTTCTTAAAGGCTGCTTTTCTTTTAAGGGGTACTGTTACAGGGTTTGGGAGGGAAACCCCAACAAAAAAAACCAACGAACACAGCACCGGACAGGTCTGGCAGCTTGGTGCGGGCCTGGACGTTGGAGCTGTGAGATCGCCTTTTCGGCGGCACGGGGCTTTGAAATGGGTGTAGGTTTAGGGTTTAGGGTTTGGGGTTTAGGGTTTCGGGTTTGGGGTTTCGGGTTTGGGGTGAAGGGTGCAAGGTTTCGGGGGATGGGAGGCTCGGGGACGCATGGGAGGTTGCCTCAGGAGTTCCGAAAATTAATGCTTTCGGGGCTCGGAGCTCACACGCAAGCCTTGAAACTATACCTTTGAACCTGTTACACCTGTATAAGCCCTCTACAAGCCCTCTAGAAGCTATGAAAACTCTTCAAACTTTGTCAGCCCTTTCGTGTGTCGGGTGATAGGAAGCCCTGTGAGCTCTTAAAACCCCTTAAATTTCAACCCTAAACACTTAAGACTCTTAAACCCCTTAAACCCCTTGAATCCCCGGATCTCTCTAAGCCCCTTGAGACCTGACCCTCCACCCTCCACCCTAAACCCCCCCCCATAAACCCCCTAAACCCTGAAGCCCAAACCCTAAACGCCCACCTAAGCGGGCCCATAGGGTCCATCTCTGGTATGATGAACCCATATAGGAGCTCCAGAACCTCCCCTAGTAGGGTTTAGGGTTGAGGGTACCTGGTCCTATTTCGATGGCAGCAGGGGTATGTACACGGAATACACGAGCCCTGACAGAGGAACTCGCAAAATGTGTGCCCCAAATTCTTGGAACCCCACCATCTAACCATCTCTGGGTTAGGCTTTAAACCATTAACCACGTGCACCCAACACCCTAAACCCTGACACCCGAAAACCCTAAACCCCAACACCCCAACACCCTAAACCCTAGAGCGTGCTGCAGTTCTCGGGGCTTCCCGGCACCTTAAACCCAGAAGCCCTACATCCACAAAACCCTCCCCCAGAACCCCTGCACCCCAAAACCCTAAATGCTGTAAAGCCCGACTCCCAAACCCATCCTGACCATCAAATTTCAAACTCTAAACTCTGAACGCCATGCCATAAACACCCTAAACACCCTAAACACCCCAAACCATAAAAAGCCCTAACACCCTAGAACCCTAAACGCCCCAACACCCCAAAACGCCCTAAACCCCCGAAGCACCCTAAACTCTAAAGCCCGACTAAAGCCCTATCCGTTCGCTATACCCACACCCAACCACCCTAAAACCTGAAACGCCCTAACACCCTAAACACGGTAGACACACTAAACTTGGGATGCTCCCCCTTATACAAACAGTCCTTCATAGGGATTATAGTACCCCCCTACTATCATCCCGATTAAGGACTGTTAGTATCAGGGGGAATATCCCAACCCTAAACCCTAATTAAACCCTACACCCTAAACCCTAAACCCTAAACCCTAAGCCCTAAGCCCTAAACCCCAAACCCCCATTTATTTCGCTTTAACCCACCCCCAGGGTTCGGACGCTCTCACGCTCCCGACGTCGGGCGTCGGAGATAGGCAGAATCGGCCTGGGAGCCCCATAATAAGTTATGGGGCTTAGGGTTCAGGGTTGAGGGTCTTCTGGAGGTTTTTGAAGGTTTTCAGGGTTTCGAGGCTGTTATAGGGTTCTAGGGCTTATACGAAGGAATAGGGCTTACGGTTCGTAAGCTTTATAGCAGGATTGATATAGGGTTTATAAAGTTTGTAGGCGTTTATAGGGTTTCTAGGGTATATGGGCTTGTATGGGGTTTCTAAGGCTTGTAGGGTTTATAGGAGTTACACGGTTGATGGGGTTTGTAGGGTTAATAGGGTTAATCGGATTGATAGGATTCAGGGTTTAGGGCCCTACCCGCGGACCGATTGGGGCACTTGCCCAGCCAGTCCAGCCGGCAGCAATGCCTCACGTTCATTGCTTGCCGCTCTTGGGCTGGTTCAAGTGGTCAATTCACAGGGCTTTGGGTTCAGGGCGTTTAGGGTTTAGGTTACTTCGCTTTGAATGGCGAGTGACATGGACACCATTTTGTAACATGGCCAGGCTAAACCCTAAACCTAAACCCTAAACCCTGTATGATTCAGATTGCCCACGCCGTTCGTGCCTCTGCGCTCGCGTTCGTCGCCTCAGCTGCGGTCATTCACCATGCTGGCTTATGCACTGGACATGTGGGCCCCAAACCCTAAATCCTAAACTCTTAACCCTAACCCTAAACCCCCTAAACCCCTAAACCCTAAATCCTAAACCCTAAACCTCTAAACCCTAAAGCCTTCTGGGCTCGGATCACGGATGGCAATGGAACCCTTGCCAGCAGACTCTCCGCACTTTTCCGCTCCGCCATTCGACGCGTTGAGCCCATCTACTCTACTCGAGGGGCCTAGCTCTTTCGAATGGGGATTTCGGGTAGTGTAGACTCTGTGTGTATATATATATATATGATATATGTACACTTTTACGTATGTATGCTGCTTCCTCTTATTGCTCTCGCATCTTCTTTCGTATTCTGAGTACTATTCTTATTCTTATTCTTGCAAGTCATTTTCTTCTTATGGTTACTGACTATCCGAATTATTCGCCAGCCCCTGCATTACAAGTCCATCGTGCTTGCGCCGAGGGCAGGCATTGTGCAATTCTCGATGTCCTTGCCTCAGTCGTTGTTAAGCTTGGGGGCTTGATGTAGGGTTCTTTAGGGTTTTGCCTGTAGGGCTCTAGGGTTTTGGGGCTTTAGGGTTGGGGTTTAGGGAGCTTAGCTTCAGGGTCTTGGGTTTTTGGTTCCCGGGGTTTTGGGTGTAGGGCTTTAGGGTTTTGGGGGATTGGGGTTCTGCAGGGCCTTGGGGTCAAGGGTATCACCCATACTCTATCAAGCTTTAAAGGCCTTTAGGAAGCATGCCGCCTTACGCTCATACGCAAGTAGCTCAACTACTTTAACTTCGCACGGTTGCTGCCACAAGGCCTGAACTCCAATGCCCTAAACACTAGACCGTTAACATACACATAAATAAATAAGTATGAACAAATAAGAATATAACTATATATATATATATATGAGCATATATATATATATATGTATATGTATATGTATGTATGTGTACATACAAAAAAACACAAACCCTACTGTAAACCCAAAATACACCCTACACCCTACACCCTAAACCCTAAACCCCAAGCCCATGAGCTCTCAGCCCCAAAGGCCCAGAATCCCATGAACCCCATGCCAGCCATGCGGCACTTCCCGAAGAAGTGGGAGTGGCTCGGGTTCACCTGCAGTGAAGCCACGCTGATCCCCATCGTCGCTAGAAGCCCCTGGATAGGACTTGAATTCCTAAACCCTAAACCATACACCCCAAACCCTAAACCCTAAGCCCTAACCCCTAAACCCTAATTCTTACACCCTAAACCCTAAACCCTAAACCCTAAACCCTAAACCCTAAACCCTAAACCCTAAACCCTAAAACCTCCACCTTGTCCGACCCGAGGCGGCTCTCGACGGCGCGCAGGAGCATGGCAGCCACCTTTGGCGCGGTGGTCTTCGCATCGGCGTGGTTCCTTGGGAGTTGAATTCAAGATTTAGGGCTTAGGGCTTTGGGCTTAGGGTTTAGGGTTTAGGGCTTAAGGAATATTGATTGTTTTGGGAGTTCTACGGGCTCAAAGATAAGGAAGATCAATTATGTGGGAATCTTAGGGAATATTCGGGAAGATTGGGGAAGGTTAGGGAATGCTGGCGAATATTGGGAAAGGGGAATGTAGGGCCTACGGTTTCAAGGTTCAGGGATTTAGGGATTTAGGGCGCTTTAAGGGGTGAGATTTGAAGTTTACAGGCTTTGAAATGTAGGGCTTAAGGGCTAAGGGTTCAAAGCCCCTTTCTCCCTTACCCCCTTACAAAATCAAATGGCCGTCTGATAACGACACCCTGAACCCTAAACCTTAAACCCAAACCCCAGACCCTACACTCCTCTTAATGCATATGAGCGGTCGAGGTCTTCACGAGACCCGAAACCCGAAACCCTAAACCCTAAACCCTAAACCCTGCAGGAAGGTGCCTCTAGCTTGGAACATTCCTTTCCCACCACACTTCGTGGGCGCGAGCAGGATCCCAGCCCAGGCTCTGTCGGATGGACGTCAGCAAGGCATACGGCTTCGTGATGTCCTTGACGCAGTCCTGTCCTCAGCTGAGGTTTAGGGTTTAGGGTTTAGGGTTTAGGGTGTCAGGGTTCAGGGTTTAGGGTTTAAGGTTTAAAGTTTAGGGTTTAGGGAACCCACTTTTCAGGGTTCAGGGTTGTAGGGTGTAGGTATCATGTCTGCTTTTGGTGCCCTTCTATTTGAACCCACCTCTGCTAAGGATCCTGCTCTTGGAGCCCCTACTACGGATCAGAGGTTGGAGGTTTCTTAGGGCGCCCTTCCTCTGCCAAGTGGGTGATAGAGCCACTGTTTCGGGATCAGAAGCTAGAACTTACAGTCTTTATGCACCCTTTACCACATGGCGATAGCAAGTGGGCATGTCACAAGCAGCAGGCCACCCAAATAGACGCCCCCGTGCCCCCCCCCCCCACCAACAACAAACAAGAAACCAATCTTACCGGACCCCCACCCCACCTCAAAGAAAACGCTACCCGCGATCTTTGGAAAGCCTCAAGAATAGTCATAATCACAACAGTGATATGTGTTACTATGCTTGTCATGATTCTTGTTACTATTGATTAGTTTATTACTATGTTAAGATTCTGAAAAAACAACAAAAAACTCCCAAACATTGCCTAGTCTCGGTCCTTGGTGCAGCACGCTGCCGCATCGACCTGAAGCTCGTTCCTCGGCTCCCGGGTTGGATTCTCAGGGGCTATGGGGGCTATGGGGAGGGTTTAGGGTTTAGGGTTTCGGGTTTCGGGTTTAGGGGGCTATGGGGGCTATGGGGGGCTATGGGGGGCGGGGTACGGGGGGCTATGGGGGCCTATAGGGGCCTATGGGGGCTATGGGTTCTGGGGAGAAGAAAACCATCCCCCACACGCCCCCGCCACCCCCAAACACTCGCACCACACACGCACCATACACGCATCGCACACCTGCAAAGCTGTGGTGCCCTTACGCTCCTTGATGGAAATCTGTTGGGGGACGGGGGGGGGAGGAGGTGAGCCAAAAGTGGTGAGTCCGAGATTCAAGAACTGCTCTAACCCCTAAACCCTAAACCCTAAACCCTAAACCTTAAACCCTAAACCCTAAACCCTAAACCTTAGTCCAAGATTCAAGAACTGCTCCACTCCATTCTCCGTCACGATGGCGCCCACCTTGTCAAGAAGGCAAGCTCCGACCTCCTCCTTCTCGTTGGCAGGCCTCGCCTGGGAAGTTTAGGGTTTAGGGTTTAGGATTTAGGGTTTAGGGCGTTCTCTAACTTGGAATCCCTTGTTTGGGGGAACCTACTTACAAGGTGCCGGATCAGTGACCCCCCAAAGAAGGGAACCTAGTTTAGAGAGCGGCCCACCTTGAGGAAGTCGCCCGTGAAGAAGTTGTTCTCAAAATCGCCGGCGATGATCCTCGCAACCATTGCGGGCAAGGTGGGCTCTGCTGGGCTGTCAGCAGCAGCCAGCAGCAGGGAGCACAGGGAAAGCAGCCATGCGAAGGAAGACCCCATGGCGTCGCGCAGGGAGAGGTGGGGTTGAAGGTTTCGAGCCCTGAAACGGCTGTTGGCAGGCCCGCAGCCAAGAGAGTTCTTGCCATGAATCATAGACAGAAACTGCGGCAACCCCAAAGCCTTAACCCGAAACCATGCAAACGAACCCTAGAACCCAAAAGCCCACGACCCGGCGACCCTCCTGAAACCTGTAGCCTACGATTTGCTTAAGAACTCCCCCAAAGCATGAATTGCTCTTGATTGCTTGGGGGTTCCAAAGCAAAAAATATTCTTCCTTGTAAGGGTAATGTAGAGATTATTGTTCATTATTCTTGTGGGGGTTCTTAAGCATATAACCCCTAAGCCCTAAGCCCTAAACCCTAAACCCTAAGCCCTAAACCCTAAACCCTAAGCCCTAAACCCTCAAGAAACAGGCTCAGGTTTGGCACCTCCTTTGTGCGTCGAGTCGAGCTTGATGAGCCCTCTACACCTCAACGCAGGGGGAGCCGCGGCTTGCGCGGCTAAGGACCAGACCCGGAATGCTGGGTTTAGGGTTTAGGGTGTAGGGTTTAGGGTTTATAGGGTTTAGGGTTTTTAGGGTTTAGGGTTTAGGGCTTCACCCTCAGGCCACTCCGCTTGGAGGAAGTACTTCCCCTTTTCGGGTGGCCCCCCCGCCTTGATCAGGAATCCCAACATTTAACAGGTATGCCAAAGGGGATCCTAATTAGAAGTCCTTCCGCAAGAGGTGCGGGAACCCTACCACAAAGCTCCACGCAAAGGCCCCAATGTTTAGGAATCCCACCACCACCGGCACCTTTTGCTGGGGGCTGGGGGACCCCACTAAGTGGGGTCTTAAGCCCTAAACCCTACTAAACCCTAAACCCTGCTAAACCCTAAGCCCGAAACCCTATACCCTAAACCCTAAACTAGCCGAGCAGCTCTCCGGGCGCCCGCGGTCCAACGGACTTGTGGGGCTTGCCGGGAGCCGTGTAGTCGGGGCCTTGAACGGGAGCTGGGCGCCGACCCTACATGGGAGGGCTTTATGGCGTTTGTGGGGGGGTTTATAGGGTGTTATAGAGTGTTCTAGGGGTTTAATGGGTTTTATAGGGTGTTATGGGGGTTTATAGGGTTTCATACGGTGTTATAGGGTCGACCCCACATGGGAGGGCTTTGGGTTTAGGGAGGCTGACAGGGGTTTTATAGCTTGTTTTAGGGTTGATGTTACAGGGCTTCGTAGGGTGCTATAGGGTTTTATCGGGTGTTTTAGGGTTTTGTAGGGCGGTATAGGGTTGTATGGGTTTTTACAGGGCTTATAGGGTATATAGGTCTTATGGGGTTTACAGGGTACAGGTTTGTAGGGTTTTGTTCCTAGCCTTTCCCCCCTTATAAACGTCCGCCACGATAGGATTTCCCATAAGTACGACCAGGACGCCACAAAGGGACACCAACCAAGAACAATCCCCCCAAAGCTGCACCCTGAGCCCAGACCCCAGCCCGGATCTGTGGCCGAAGGTTCATGCATCAGCCTGCCGTTCTCTCATGTTCCGGACCCTCAACCCCCTAAGCCCGAAACCCTAGTAAAGGTTTAGCGGGTGGCTCAGGCCTCTGACAATAAAGATGCTTTCCTGGTTGAGGCTGCGACCGGATCCTGGATGAATTCCCAGGCTCTTGGCCTCTGGGGCAGTCCTGTCGACTTGCATGAGGTGTATCCCGGTCTCACACCTGGATTACACATCTTGCAGCTTGGCGATTCAGAGTTCGATGGCCGGCACAGCATGCCCTAGTCCCTCATAAACCCGAAACCCGAAATCCCCCAAACCCACCCTCGTCATTGCAGCAGCAAGCGGGTGATTCCTCGTGAGACGGAGCTTCCCAGCTCAGGAAGCGGTGGTGCCTTGGGAAAGTCGGGAAAGTGTCTTGTTGCTTGGCAACCGCTTCCTCTCACCTAACTAGCTCCTAGTAGGGGCTTAGAGAATTAGGGTCCCCTCTCTCTATATACGACAGTATGTACAATAACGAGCGCATATAATATTCGCCTCGGCTTCCTGCCGAGAAGCGTCTGGAACAAGCAGACCCGGATCGGGCCTCCCTTCCCCCGCATACGAGATTTTCTGACGCCACCCCCCCCCCCCCCCCCCCCCCCCCCCCCCCCCCCCCCCCCCCCCCCTTCTTTGACCCCTCTGCCCTTCCTCCCCTTTTTTTGCGAAACCCTCTTTCCTCCTTTCCTGTCCTGGGGCCGGCCCGGCTGCCGAGGCGGCGCGCGCAAGCGTTTACAATTATAGATGTATATATTTCTAGATTCTAATGATGTGCATAAATAAGAAGATGAAAAACTAAAACAAAAATAGATTTAAAAAACATAAATACATAAATACAGAAATACATAAATAAATAATTCATAAACACATAAATACATAAATAAACGAAGAAAGAAAGAAATATGTACATACATAAACATATATTCACATATCTATATTTATACATACATGCACACATATAGTTCCCATAAACAGTTATATAGGGGGATATGAGAGCCTTTAAGCCCTAGTCCCCTGTCCCAGCCTCAGGGGACTCGGACGAAACCGATAGCCCCAGCGCCTTGCAGGTTCGACATTTCCCGGGTCTGTTTAGGGTTTAGGGTTTATTTAGGGTTGTTCATTAGAGCTTGGGGTTTATATAGGGTTAAGGGCTTATTTAGCGTTTAGGGTTATTTAGGGTTTATGTCGGGTTTTCTAGTGTCTATGTAGGGTTTACAGGGTTTGCAGTTAGGGTTTATAGGGTTTCTTGGGGCTTGACCTCTGGGTCGTGGAACTTTGTATTCGCTGCTTTTTTGGCTTGTGGTGCCTGTTATCCTATGACCGTTCTGGGCTCCCTATGTGCTCCTGTACCGCGTGCCAAGAATAGCGCGTAAGTTTTAGGGACCCCCAATCGGCCTAACATACGTAATATCAACATCTTCACACAAGGCCATGCCGTAATCATCCCTCAACAGCACAAAAGAAACAACAGGACGGTCCCCCAAAGAAGTGTCCGCGGCGGTGTCTCTTGTGTCACACGCCACTTGCATGGAATGCTTTGTTTTTTTACATCCCCTTCTCGAGGTATCCGGAGCCTAATTTGGACCAAACCTTGAACCCCGAATCCGACCTGTGTGTGCTCATGGAATGGAACACCTCATGGTCAGAAACCAGCTGTGCTCACAGCAGTTGGGACTCGTTGGAAGTATGGCCAGGTCTATGGCTGGCTTGTGATACGACTGCCCAAACGGTGAAAGTGGCCGAGAAGGGGACGACACGAAATTTGGGGAACGGCCCTCGCCTTTGGCTGCTCAAGAAATTCCCATCTTGGGGCACGCAACTGCAAGGGACCCAGAACGTAGGGAACCTGAACCGAAGCCCTGCACACCCTAAACCCTAAACCCTAAACCCTAAACCCTAAACCCTAAACCCTAAACCCCAAACCCTGAACTGGCCTGACGCTGGGCGCGAACTTCGGCTAATCGTTGCTGAAGGCTGCGAACCTTCGGAAATGGCGCACTCCTAAAGGCCCCAATGGCTATGTTTCATCTCTCCAAATAGGAGTACCTCTAATATGCCCTCCAAAAACTTTGATCCTTGTATACGAACCCCCAAAAGGGTATCCATATTTTTGGGAAACCCCATATGATACTCATCGGATCCGACCCAAAACCCCAAAACCCTCTGTTGGGGGGTTCGACCTTACGCACAAAATCTAGGCTCATTTGGGAAGATACAGTTATACGAAGAAGCGACCCCACAAGGAACCATGCTTAACACAACTCACCTTTGTGATTGCCAACATACCTGTCGCCACCAAAAATGAGGGATCACAAACCAAGTTCCACGATTCAGGAAGCTGTCTCCTTATTAGGGGGCTCTTCTTCCCCATATCCCGACCCTCCATAACTTGTTTTCAACAAAACCCGTATGGGCATTTCCCAAAATCGGGACCCCTTACACTACGCCCCACACTGCGAGAGTTCTTACAATCACAACCCCAGAGCCGTAAAAAACCCTAAAACCTAAACCCTAGACCCTAGACCCTAGATTGCGTAAAAATCCCAGAATTGAAAAAGCTGTCGAGGAGGCCTGCCCAGAGAAGGCCGGACCATCCTCCATGGAGCGATCCTCCTAGGAAATGTGAGGGGGGGGGGGAGGCAGGGTTTAGGGTTTAGGTTCTAGGGTTGTAAAGGCACGCGCCTCTGAATGCAAGGACCGTTCTAGGTCTAACCGTTCATGTTTCGAAGGGGTCCCGCCCAAACTTGCCCTTGCTTGAGGGAGCTACGGAGCATCCTCAGGGTCTGTGTTCTATTTGCTTTGTATCCCCCCCTGCCCCCAAAAAGCCGTCTTCCTTATAAGCGCAATAGAGGGATTGTCATCTTGTAACTTTCTGCGGGGGTTCTTAAGCACATAGTAGTAGGGTTCAGGGTTCAGGGCTTGAGGATTTTGAGGGAGGTGGGGTGGGGAGGGCGGGGTGGGATGGAAGTGGGTGCCCCACATTTGAATCCCCTCTATTTGCAGTGAGTGCCCCGCACTTGCTGAACCCTAACCCATCAGCAATCCTGCTTTGGGAGGCGTCAACGATGTGCGCATAAGCTGTCAGATCATGATGCGCAGCTACTTCCTATCATGCTGCTGGTTGCTCGTGCCAAGGTCTGCTATGCTGCCTGCCTTACTACTGTATTCGCGAGCGGCACGCATCGGATTGCGAGCAATGTTTCCTAAACCCTAAGCCCTAAGCCCTAAGCCCTAAACCCTAAACCCGAACCCTAGACCCCAAGCCCTAAAACCCTAAACCCCTGCCATCGATCCCAGGATGCTCTGCAACTGATCCATGCCACTGAACTGCTTGAGCCCTGATGCAGCTCTTCGGGGTGGAGGGTCGGGTTGTCCAACAGTCGGGCTCTTGTGCCTTAAGAGTTTTCAGGGTTTAGGGCCTTTCTCGGGTTCTAAGGTTCTCTTTTTTCCGGGCTTTTAGGCATTGATTTAGGGTTTCGGGGT